ACTCATGTCTATGTACGAATCTTGGGGTAAGATTTTGACATGAATTTCGACCAAAAAATCGGTGTCGAGATGTAAATGCCACATTAATCTAGAGGGAAAACCATGAAGAAAACGCCAAACTTCGTGAAAATCGGATGAGATTTGACCGAGTTATGGGGGTGGTAAATTTTGACTCATGTCTATATACGAATCTTGGGGTAAGATTTGGACATGAATTTCGACTAAAAAATCGGTGTCGAGATATGAATGCCATATTAATCTAGAGGGAAAACCATGAAGAAAAAGCCAAACTTTGTGAAAATCGGATGAGATTTGACCGAGTTATGGGGGTGGTAATTTTTGACCCATGTCTATATACGAATCTTGGGGTAAGATTTGGACATAAATTTCGACCAAAAAATCGGTGTTCAGATTTGAATGCCACATTAATCTAGAGGGAAAACCATGAAGAAAACGCCAAACTTCGTGAAAATCGGATGAGATTTGGCCGAGTTATGGGGGTGGTAAATATTGACCCATGTCTATATACGAATCTTGGGGTAAGATTTGGACATGAATTTCGACCAAAAAATCGGTGTTCAGATTTGAATGCCACATTAATCTAGAGGGAAAACCATGAAGAAAAAGCCAAACTTTGTGAAAATCGGATGAGATTTGGCCGAGTTATGGGGGTGGTAAATTGACTCATGTCTATATACGAATCTTGGGGTAAGATTTGGACATAAATTTCGACTAAAAAATCGGTTTCGAGATATGAATGCCATATTAATCTAGAGGGAAAACCATGAAGAAAAAGCCAAACTTTGTGAAAATCGGATGAGATTTGACCGAGTTATGGGGGTGGTAATTTTTGACCCATGTCTATATACGAATCTTGGGGTAAGATTTGGACATGAATTTCGACCAAAAAATCGGTGTCGAGATGTAAATGCCACATTAATCTAGAGGGAAAACCATGCAGAAAAAGCCAAACTTCGTGAAAATCGGATGAGATTTGACCGAGTTATGGGGGTGGTAAATGTTGACCCATGTCTATATACCAATCTTGGGGTAAGATTTGGACATGAATTTCGACCAAAAAATCGGTGTCGAGATTTGAATGCCACATTAATCTAGAGGGAAAACCATGAAGAAAAAGCCAAACTTTGTGAAAATCGGATGAGATTTGGCCGAGATATGGGGGTGGTTGAATCATGTCTATATACGAATCTTCGGGTAAGATTTGGACATGAATTTCGACTAAAAAATCGGTGTTCAGATTTGAATGCCAGATTAATCTAGAGGGAAAACCATGAAGAAAACGCTAAACTTCGTGAAAATCGGATGAGATTTGACCGAGTTATAGAGGTGGTAATTTTTGACCCATGTCTATATACGAATCTTGGGGTAAGATTTGGACATGAATTTCGACCAAATAATCGGTGTCGAGATTTAAAAGCCACATTAATCTAGAGGGAAAACCATGAAGAAAAAGCCAAACTGTGTGAAAATCGAATGAGATTTGGCCGAGATATGGGGGTGGTAAATTTTGACTCATGTCTATACACGAATCTTGGGGTAAGATTTGGACATGAATTTCGACCAAAAAATCGGTGTCGAGATTTGAATGCCACATTAATCTAGAGGGAAACCCATGAAGAAAAAGCCAAACTTTGTGAAAATCGGATGAGATTTGGCCGAGATATTGGGGTGGTAAATTTTGACTCATGTCTATATACGAATCTTGGGGTAAGATTTTGACATGAATTTCGACCAAAAAATCGGTGTCGAGATTTGAATGCCACATTAATCTAGAGGGAAAACCATGAAGAAAAAGCCAAACTTTGTGAAAATCGGATGAGATTTGACCCAGTTATGGGGGTGGTAATTTTTGACCCATGTCTATATACGAATCTTGGGGTAAGATTTGGACATAAATTTCGACCAAAAAATCGGTGTTCAGATTTGAATGCCACATTAATCTAGAGGGAAAACCATGAAGAAAAAGCCAAACTTTGTGAAAATCGAATGAGATTTGGCCGAGATATGGGGGTGGTAAATTTTGACTCATGTCTATGTACGAATCTTGGGGTAAGATTTTGACATGAATTTCGACCAAAAAATCGGTGTCGAGATTTAAATGCCACATTAATCTAGAGGGAAAACCATGAAGAAAACGCCAAACTTCGTGAAAATCGGATGAGATTTGACCGAGTTATGGGGGTGGTAAATTTTGACTCATGTCTATATACGAATCTTGGGGTAAGATTTGGACATGAATTTCGACTAAAAAATCGGTGTCGAGATATGAATGCCATATTAATCTAGAGGGAAAACCATGAAGAAAAAGCCAAACTTTGTGAAAATCGGATGAGATTTGACCGAGTTATGGGGGTGGTAATTTTTGACCCATGTCTATATACGAATCTTGGGGTAAGATTTGGACATAAATTTCGACTAAAAAATCGGTGTTCAGATTTGAATGCCACATTAATCTAGAGGGAAAACCATGAAGAAAACGCCAAGCTTCGTGAAAATCGGATGAGATTTGGCCGAGTTATGGGGGTGGTAAATTTTGACCCATGTCTATATACGAATCTTGGGGTAAGATTTGGACATGAATTTCGACCAAAAAATCGGTGTTCAGATTTGAATGCCACATTAATCTAGAGGGAAAACCATGAAGAAAAAGCCAAACTTTGTGAAAATCGGATGAGATTTGGCCGAGTTATGGGGGTGGTAAATTTTGACTCATGTCTATATACGAATCTTGGGGTAAGATTTGGACATGAATTTCGACCAAAAAATCGGTGTCGAGATTTGAATGCTACATTAATCTAGAGGGAAAACCATGAAGAAAAAGCCAAACTTTGTGAAAATCGGATGAGATTTGGCCGAGATATGGGGGTGGTTGAATCATGTCTATATACGAATCTTGGGGTAAGATTTGGACATGAATTTCGACCAAAAAATCGGTGTTCAGATTTGAATGCCACATTAATCTAGAGGGAAAACCATGAAGAAAAAGCCAAACTTTGTGAAAATCGGATGAGATTTGGCCGAGTTATGGGGGTGGTAAATTTTGACTCATGTCTATATACGAATCTTGGGGTAAGATTTGGACATGAATTTCGACCAAAAAATCGGTGTCGAGATTTGAATGCCACATTAATCTAGAGGGAAAACCATGAAGAAAAAGCCAAACTTCGTGAAAATCGGATGAGATTTGACCGAGTTATGGAGGTGGTAATTTTTGACCCATGTCTATATACGAATCTTGGGGTAAGATTTGGACATGAATTTCGACCAAAAAATCGGTGTCGAGATTAGAATGCCACATTAATCTAGAGGGAAAACCGTGAAGAAAAATCCTATATCATATATATATTCTAATTTAGAACCTATATGTCAAGTTTGGTGACTCTAGTTCTTATTATTTACCAAAATTTCCCAAAAAACAGGATATCGATATCGATTTTTTATCGATTGCTTGGAAACGGAGTAAGTTATCGATTATCGGAAAAAAAAAACTCGATCTGCGTTCATACATACGGACGGACGGACGGACGGGCGGATATACTTTATGGGGTCGGAGATGCTTCCTTCTACCTGTTACATACATTTGGATTTTGCACAAATACAATATACCCTTATACCCATTTTTAATGGGTTCATACTAAAAAAAGTAAATAAAAATGAATGACCGAATTAACGGTAAGCTTTTCAGACAGAATCATCCCGACTGCGCGATACTCTGCAGTAACCGTTACGCTACACAAACTGTCATTGCAAATAATCTTAACTTTTTATGCGGGCTCTCTGAAATTAGTTGTGTGCAAGAGCTAACGTTAGAAATTTTTGCGTTCATACATTAAAGCACGATGCTCAAAACTAATCGCCCATACACTCTTTTTCTTTGTGAAATCAGTGTAAAATTTTAATCTGGTGCAACAGATATACATATGTACATACATACATATGTACGTGTACTTTGTTACAGTTAGAGAGAAGGAAATAAATAGGCGAAATACTTACATACAAATCTGATATATAAACAAAGTAAGCCCAATAAACAAAAGGTGTCGCTGAAAAGCGGCTAATTGTAAACAAGCGATAAGAAAATGGACACTGCGCTATGTACATACATACATACATACATAAATACATATGTACGTAAATATGCATGAATAGTCTTAAATTTATTTGCGAGCATACAATGCTTTGTTGTGTTCATTATTTTTTGTACTTTATGTGAAAATCCCCATAAGACGACTCGATATCGTCGCTGACTCATCTTATAGAAAATAAAAAGAACAGATTAAGCAAACAGAACGCGTATTATTTAAAACTGAGCGTGGACAATGTCGTCGCACGATATGAGCACACACACTACTGCAACTACACCCAACATGCTCATGCATATACATGTGTGCGTGTGTGTGTGTGTTATGCACATGTGGTTCAAATTCATAGGCTTTTGCTGACCTTGCAAAACAACCTAACTGTAATTACGAATGGGCGCAAAGCAATCAAGAAAGAACCTCAAATTCGAACTCGAAGATTAAATACCCTTGCGGGCGATTTGACTGAGAAACGCTGCTATACAAGCAATTAAAATTAAAACGTCTTGTTCATACAGATCAAGAATATATAAACCTTGGGACATACTTTTTGGCAAAATTATAGCAGCCTCTAAAGAGTATAACACATGCACAGGTATAGAGAATGTCAAAAAGACGCATTTGACATGGAATTCAAGGTGCTATACGCTGATGGAAAGATCGGCAAATTGAAAGAGCCGTCGATATGACCTGGCACAATATTTCCGCGACAACTCCCCCGCGCGGTTCTTATCGAATCGAGCGCGAAACTGAGCCCAGCTTCTGATCAGCTCTGTGGCTGTGTTGTTATCTCGGTGCGATTGCTGAAATTGTTGCAAATTATGGGTGAGCTACTTCTACAACAGCCTTGAGGCTAAGGTTCAGTCATTAAGATTCGATTCTACGGCATTTTCTGCTTACCTCGCGAGCCTAGCACAACAACTTTGCCCTCTATTCCGCGCATCTTATTGGCAATTGGGGCAATCAGTTGAACGGCATGTCCGAATGTGTGTGTGTGAAATAAATGTAGCTTCTGTGTGGCGCTGAATTCTTGATGTTGGTTGTTGATTTTGTTTATATTGTCGTTGCGCTTGTGTAGTATTTGATGACACAGTGCATATTTGCAGGTGGTCCGCGACAAACGTTTTAACAAAGAGTGCCTCTGTTGTCCGCTGACGCTGGTTTATTATCGAGGCTGGCGAATCGAGACACTCCCAAAGCGTTTGCCTACTTACGGGATGTTATTTACCACTGCTCTTATTACTTGTTGCAAATATTATTAAGAAGTCAGTTTTTTTTTTGTGTTCCTTCATTTAATCGATTCATTCGATGTCTTAACAGCTGTGAATGTTATATGCTAGCCTTTACAGTTGTGGACATTTATGGATTCTATTATTAACAGCTGTTAAGCCAGGGCTGCATATGTACGCAATAACATTGCGCCAAAATAAATTAAAATATGTCTTTCGTATAGAATTCGTGCGTCCAACATGATTTATATACATAAGACACTGCAATATTTCACATTTCAGATTTGCTTTTTTCCCGCGATTTTGTAGATGCGCCAAATATTAGACTGCTGGCATAGCGGCTGCGGCCATAGCGGCTGCGGCCATATCGGCCATTCCTGCTATTGATATTGACGCGTTACTGTGGTTTGCGTTTTGAGAACTAACAGATAAACATATTGCGTAAGCGTTTTAAGTTAACTAAATTGTTTAACTTGGTTCTTATTAGAGCAAAAATTTTCTTATTTAATATAAACTACGCGTTAAACTTGCCGAACTATTTCCATCACTATGTCCGAATATCGCAAGCAAATATATCGTATGCTATAGCTATCGATATATCGGTATAATATCAACACTGAAGAGCCGCCGCCAAATTCTTGCTGGCAGATGTTCACGCACGCAATAGACGGATTGCGAAACTATTACTTTATATCAAAATAAATTATTAATTCGGTGCTTAAATATGAAGTCAATTTAAGAGCAGCATTTGCCAGCGCCACAAACAACTTGCAGATTGCAGTAGTAAGTAGTAAGTTACTGCAGCAACTGCGCCAAATGTGCGCGCGTTTTTTTTGCTTGGTGCCGTCGCATCGTCTTGTAAAAAAAAGTGCCACATTTTAAAAGGTAAATGCAATACCTGATCCCGAACGCTAGGCTTAAGATAAAGCTTATAGAACTTGTGCAACCAATCACGCCTGCATGATAATGCATTTTCCCCTAGGACACGCCCAGGGGCGTGCGACCCAAGCGTGCCTGTACCAAAAATATCCAATGCAATAAATCTTAAGTTATTAACATGTGTGTAATTTACGAACTGAATGTAATTCATAATATTTTAGTTGAACTGTTGAAGAATGGCAGCAATTAACTCCAATACGGTGCATAAGATCAACAACAGCTACGATTCGGAGCCATCCACGGGCAGCGGGGTGAGGCGGGCTGATGCAAATCAAAGTGAAAGTAATTTATTCATAAACATTTGTTTACTTTCGCAGTCTTCGCTCAGTGAAAACAATGAGGGCCAAATATCTGACGAGGAGAACATGAATCTACCATATATGCTAAAGCCAAAAACACTGAGCACAGACAATGCCACCAAATCGAGCGCCCCGGGGGGCAGCCAGGAGTCGCAATTTCGTGGCTTCGGCGACAGCCCGTATGGCCAGGTGAATAAACAGCTTTACGGCTCGCAGCTGCAGCATCTGAAGCTGCCGGAGCTGGACCCGCCTGCCAAGCACCGATCCCCGGGCATGGTTGTCTTTCCCAGGTTCTATGAGAGCGTCTTGGAGGAAAACAGCTGCAATGCTGTCGATATGCCGCCGGCCTCAATAGCTGCACCCATAACAAAACCAAACACAGACAACTTGTCCTTTGATGGCAAAATCAAAAGTCTGACTGAGGCGCCCAGCAGCTCTCGGCTGCCCACTGTCCCGGAAAGTGCTCCACAGCAGCAACAGCAGCTGTCAGAATCATTTATATTCAAAAAAATGAACAACGAACGCTCGCCTGATCTGTTCGCCGAGAGTGATGAAGAGGAGGAGAATGGCGACAACCAAACCGATAAGGGACTGGGCACAACGCTTGAGGACCTGCCCGAGGTGCTGGAGGAGAGCCAATGCGTTAGCGAGGCGCCAGGTCCGAGTCACAATACCAGCGCACGTTACTCTCTGACAGCGCCCACGGAATCCAGTTTCGTGGATGAGCACACGCTGGACACGCAGCTAACCGGCAGCGATACTCGCACGCATTTCATCGAGAATTGTCGGCGGGAGCGTGAGCTCTATCGTCGCATCAGGCGCTGTTTGCAGGGTGTGCGCCCGCCGCCCACAGTGACCACGCCCGACATCGATGTCATCAGCACCGTGGTGAACATGAAGGAGAATGTGCTCAACTTCTTAACCTCGCCGTCCAGCATTGAGGACAGTGGCATCTGTGCCACGCCCTCGCTTTTCAAGCCCACGCACAGCCTGGCCGAAGCGCAGGGCATGAGCTGGCGCGAGGTGCTCGGCGTGCGCCAGCATGGACTGAGGTAAGAGCCAGACAAACGATTCCACATGCTGTTCACAAATAAAACCGAATCCCTTCCAGCTACAACCTAAACAAGGCGGCCGAACAAAATGAATACCTCAGTTTGTCCGTGGTGGAGCGTTATGTGGGCGCAGAGACGGCCACGTCCTATGTGCGCTCGCCGTCGAGTGCCAAGAAGCGCAACATGCGCATGAAGTGAGTAGAACAGTCAATACCCGTTGAAATGGACCATTTATTAACAAAATATGCTGTACAGAATGCTGACGAAGTCACCAGGAAATCGGCTCAGTCACTTGGCCAAACGGCGTGCCATATTTTCATCGGCAAATCTGGCGACAAACTCCAACAAACTGAACAGTTCCATCGGCCCGCAGATACTACTCGATAAAAAGTAAGTTATAGTCGTTTGCTGTGTTCGTTGTCAACTACAGTGAACACTCGATTTATTCAACAGAAAAGAGCGCAACAAGCGGAAAGCAACACCAAAACGCAAAACGCCGGGAAGCAAAAAGAAATGTAAGTTTCACAAAGTAATTTACCTAATTGTAGATACAAATATTTATAAGTAATATCTTCTAACACCAACTCGATCTCCCCACAAAATAACAATTTACCTTATATTCCATTTATTTTGGGCTTAAGTATTTGGAAGCGGGGAACTTTAATTGAAGACATTAAATTTGGCAAGCAATCTACTTAAGTTAACTTTATAATTGGTAAAAGGAAATGATTTTTGATATAAACTCAGATTTGACAGCGATTGATTAAAATACAAAAGATATTTGAAAAAGTTAATGAGAACCTTCCGGTATTGTTGAATCTGTTGCCGTTTGCATTATTTATATACTCATCAACTTTGCATTCTTAAAGCTCGGAAAACACCGTCCTCCTCGGCTCGCAAGCGCCTCTTTCGCACCGATCTCATCAAGCCGGGTCCGTCGCGCGAGACCTCGAAACGCGCGCTGTTCCAAAGCCCGGCCAAGTCGCTGCAACAGCAGCAGCAGAAACTTATGCCGCCCAAGCCGCTCTTCAAGCCGGAGATAGCCAATCGCGTGGAGAAATCGAAGCGTGCGCTCTTCTCGCCCGACAACGGCAGCCAGTCAAGCGCTGCGTGTGCCACCAGCGTTAGCAGTCAGCTGGAGACGCTGCTCAAGCGCAAACGTAACGCTCACGACGACGACGAAGACGCCGCCGAGCTAGCCAGCCAGAGCAGCAAACTGTTCCGTGCCGGCGGCGCAGGCGGCAGCGGTCTTACGCCGCGCGCCCTCAAAATAAAGAGTCAGAGCTTTTGCATTGGAGCTGGTTCCTCCACAGCAGGTCAATACAAGGCGGCCGCCAGCGTGCAGCAGCCCAGCTTCGCCGGCAGCGCCAGTCGGCTAAGCCTCGGTCTGAGCGGCAGCAGCAGCAATTTGGTCGCAGGCAGCAAAACGCCAGCCGGCAGCAAATTGTTGCGCGCCCATTCAGAAATGAGTGCCACGCCGCAGAGCGCCATGACGGATAATCAGCGCAAGGTGAGGCATCAAAATATTTAAAAAATTAAGCTCTTGCAGCTGTCTAAACTGAACATTTTTCCTCGCAGAAACTGCTGTGGGCTGTGTCGCAGGCGCTGCAGGACAGAAGAATATCAGTCAAGCACGAGAATTTCCGGCAGCATGCGGCGGACTTGGCGCGCATTGTCAAGCGCATCTTTCAGGAGTTCCATCAGGGGCACACGACAAGCAACAGCGAGACCTTGCTGCGGTTGGTATTGCGTTTCGTTTACCTTTCATATTGTATGCTCACGAGTCTCATATCTCCGCAGCCTCGCCAAGAAGTATGCCTTCAGCGTGATAGCCGGCAAGCAGCCGGACGACATCTACTTACAGGCGCGCATCCAAGAGAGTGAAGCGAAACGACAGTCCAACACGCGCCTGTCGGGCTACATTGGACCCGAGGAATTTGCGCAGCGCAAGCTACTCTTATCGCAAAGCTCCACGCAGTCGCTGTCGCAGATGTCGTTGGCGCACAGCAAGGCTGACGGTTCCATGCAGAACTTATTTGGCAGCGAGAACTCTATTGACTCGTTCGGCTTCAGTCAAACGAGTCAGAGCAACGGCGCCTCCAATCCGGCTACGCAGTCCAGTTTCATGGAACGCATCTCGGAGGATCTCTTCTCTAAGCAGCAGCAGCTGCCCATACAGGCCAATCCGTCGTTGCAGAACAGTTCATCCAAAAGCAATTTGGGCGGCCTGGCGTTGCGCGAGAACGTGCACTGCGAGCAGCGTCGTTCGGCGCAAAAGAATTTCACCGGGAAGGATCAGCGCAATATCAGTCCCTACTTTGGTGGCGGCAACAGCAACGGTTCGGCACGCAAGTTCCAAGCGAACGCAGCCTCCAGTGGCGGCGACTCCGGCGCCAAGGCGAAGCGTCAGATTACCTTCGATAGCTAAAATTTTAATCAAAACTATTTATTTTCACAAAGTGTGTTGTTCCATATTGCTTGGGTTGTTTTCTAGCCAAATTTAATTAAAAACCGCGGTACTTCAACTACAGAGACGGACGACTACGTACGTAGACGCATATCCAAATGAAAGGCAATATTTTCCGCTGAAGTAAATGAGCTTAAATGAGAATTGTAACTAAACGATAGCTACGTATAAATATTTATAAGAATAAGCTTTTATTCGGCTAACGCCTGGTTACGAATAAATGAATTATGAATTGTAAACAATGTAAACTCGGAATAGTATAAAATAAAAAGGATCAACTTAATAGTAGCCGCTGCGATTGATATAGCGCCGGATTAGCGTGAATGAGACAATGTGAAAGACCAATGCGACCACCAAAAGGCTAGCACAGTCCAGCCAGAAGGTGTAGTCGGCGGTGCGGAAGGACGCCTGCTGCAGCACCTCCAAGCCGGTCTGAACGCACGGATGCTCATCGTTGACGGGACAAGCTGTCGACAGAGAAACGTAAGGCAAGCAACAGAATATGTTATTTTTAAAAGTATCTAAGTGATTAAAATATCTTAATTCCGCAGCCGAAAAGTACAGGAACCAAATGGGGCTCAGCAAATCTTATAGAAGTGGCAAGCATTTCACGAAAATCCAACTATTTCAAAATGTGATCTCACACTCACCAATGTTGTCAATGTCAATCCAAAAGTTGTACATCAGTGCCTCGTTGGAGTAGAAGAAGAGCGAGAAATATTTGAGCAATGGTACCGAGTCCACATTCATGTAGGTGCCGCCAAAAATGAGAAAGATCAGATCAAAGGGCGCCGCGCACTCCGATGCCATTTTGTCGGTCTCAAAAAGGCTGGAGAGGAATACACCATAGCCAACGGCGGCAACGGCAGAGAGACTCATGAGAAAGCCCATGGTTATATAGAGCAGAAAGCCGCGCGTGTAATAAATCGAGGCGTAGATCACCGACAGAAACATGTAGCCCTTGAAGAAGGCAACCGGCACAAAGGACAGCACCAGTGCCACATAATAGGCGGACAGGCTGTAGGTGCCCTCGCCCACCTCGCGTCTTATGATAGGCAAGGCGGCTGGAAAGATGTACGTTACGCCGTAGCTAAATGTGAAGATCATCTCGTTGCTGAGCATAAATATGGAGCCGCCCACATCCTGGACGGTGCGCTGCGTCAGCCCGCCCACGCCGGAGTACATCAGAGAGAGCGTTACGGCGGTGATCATGAAGAAGCCAAATCCAATGAGGCCGCTCCGAATGTTGCGCAGATCCTCGGTCATGAAGCGTATGACCAGCAGATACACCTGGTATATCCAGCGTATCTTCTTGAAGTTCTGGACATGCTTCATGTAATCTCCGCTGTAATTGCGAGCCAGCAACCAGCTGCCGCTATAGAGTCCGTCCGTCTCATGCTCGTATTTGGCACGCAGCAGCTCGCCCGCATTTTTAGAGCCTTGGCTATCGGCGAGGGTCTTCAGATAGAAGTCGGCGGGATTGCAGTTCTTCGGCTGCATAAAGCCCATGCTGGAGGGCAAAAGATGCAGTACATGTGTGTTATTCTCGACTGATCGACTAGGACATACCCTACATACAGGTGCCTAAAACTTTTATTTAGTTATAGTATATATATTATTGATCCTTATTAACAGGCGAATGGCTATAACCATGTCCGTCTGCTTCTAATCGAACTAGTCTTTCAGTGTTATCAAGATCGCAAGTCTGTCTTATATAGCTTTATATGCAGAATCGTTCGAGAAATTAATATGTATGCCAAAATATTCGGCTTTCCAAGATATTTTCATTAAACTCAGCATTTAAGAGTTTCCGTATTCCCACATATCTGCAAAGCCGTAAGCCATATGTCTACAAGGGTATTTAATCCCCAGCTTGGCGAAGATAGGAATTCTTTCTTCTTTGTTTCATATCTATGTCTATGTAAACACACACGCTAAGCATGCTTTCCTTGAGTAGAAACTATATTAAATAACTTTTGTTAACCTTTCACAATATGTAGATAAAACCCGTGATAAAAATAGTCATGCTTTTCCTATTGCCTAGAGATAAAGTTGTCCAAATAAACACTGATATTTTTATACCCTACAAAGTATGTAAAAGTACAGCCGACCCGAGATCATGTTCATCTATCATCTCGAGAACTGGCAGCTTTGATTTTGAGATGTCAACTTTGATCGTTTGGCCAAGTACAGATGCCAGCAGGCTGCTGATGTATGGAGGATCACAAGGAAACCTTGGCAGATCTGAAATGGTAGCCACTCCACAGAGCTAACTGGACACCGACTGGTGGACACACATTCCGCTGGACTCCTAGCTGCCTGAAAGGACTTTGCCAGTTGTCGGACAAGACCGTGCGCCTCTCTTTTACTCCTACCCAGCTCTGTAAAACTAGATTCCTTTTGCTTGGAACCCTTTTTGCTAATGGATCTATCAGATTTCTATATCTTGTACCTTGTTTCGCTGAGAAACGCAAGGTGGACATCTTATCCAATAGGGTCGAGGACACAACTCGACGACACTTACTCTGTGAAGAACTTGGCCGCCTGTTCGGTGCGTCCCTGGTAGACAATGCGGCCGCCATCCATGAGAATGATGTGAGTGAAGAGCTCGAAGATGTCGGATGTTGGCTGGTGAATGGAGCAGATGGCCGCCTTCTTTTGCGTTCCGTTGGGACTGTTGTTGAGCACGCCCAACGTGGGCAGCTCCTTCATGGCCTGCAGCAGACTCTCGTGCGAGTTGTCCACAATTTCCATTTCAATGGAATTGCTGCCCGAGCTGCCGTTGTCACTGGGCGTCGCGAACGAGTCCTCGCCGTAGACCTGGGTCAGCGAGTGCTTGGCTATGCGCCGCCTGGTGCACAGATGTCGCAGCGTCTTGATGACCGTGTACGCACTGAAGCTGTCCAGGCCGGTGGTTGGCTCGTCGCAAAAGAGAAAGATGGGATCTGTGATCAGCTCCTCGGCCAGGCTGAGCCGCTTGCGCTCGCCGCCAGACAGCTGCTGGATGCGTGTGTGTGATGCATCCCGTAGCCCCACCGCCAGCAGCAGATCCGAGACGCGCTGCCGCTTCTCCGACTTGGTCGTTCGGCGATGCATCTTGAAGTGGGACTAGATTGGAAGACGCACACCCGCTGCTTCTCAAAACGGTTAGCCAAGGAATTTGGAATGGACCTACCATGAAGTACAGATGCTCGTAGGCGGTAAAGGTTTTCACATTGATCTCAAACTGCGGCAGAAAACTGGAGATGCGTGTCATCTGATCCCGTTCCATGGCCATGCCGTTTAAAACCACATCTCCGGTCAGGTTACCGCGCAGCCGTTGCGAAATCGCTGCCAACAGTGTGGTTTTGCCGGCGCCCGAGCCGCCCAGTATGGCGATGAGGTCGCCCGTTTTCAGGTGACCGCTGACTGCAGATTAACCACACCCACAATTATTTCGATTGTGTGATTGGGATTGTGTGAACGAGTCTTACCGTCATGGAGAATGCGCAGCTCCCGCTGCTTGCGGCACTCGTTCCAAAAGCTGTAATTGCTTTGCTCCTGCGCGGGCACATAATAGTTGAGCTGCTTCCACTCGAGGCACAGGCTGCCCTGTGCGTCGCCCTCGTCCATAGGCATCGCGCCGAGTTCAATGTACTCCCGAAATTTTAAGGTACAAATATGAATTTTCGTACAGGTTGCCGCAGCATCCGCGCTTATCCAAGCGCTTATCACTCAGCCACTTTGTCTCTTATCTTATCGGCTGCTCTATTGGTATTTGCATATTTCAGACAGCTCCGCACGTTCCATTCAGTAACTTTCTACACGGCCCCACACAGGTGACTGCCGCGGCCGGGGGGAAACCTTAAATCTGTGCCGCCGCACGAGAGAGAGAGAGAGACGATTGGAAGACCGAGAGACAACCGTTCGCGGCAAAGACCACACGTCAACTGTGCCACGGCGTCGACGGCGATGTCATTTTCTACCCCCAGCAGCCCTCAACGTAGGTAACATTAAACTTTTGACCGCGTTTCGGTTTAACCAGCTAATTGTCGCTTATCAATGCTCGACGAGTTTGACGGGCTCGACCTGAGGGAAGACCGCTCTCCGCCTATACCCCATATATTGTCTGGTCGAACGTAGACAACGCCATCCCATTTATTTTCAATTGGAATCATGTCACTTTTCAAAGGCCATCTAGCCGACAAAGCACACTGGAGGTGCACTCAGATTCGACGATGATGTCAGGTAGTTGGCGGCGGGCATTGGACCTTAAGATTTCTGATTAGAAAGGATCGTGGAACTTGATCAAAGAGTGGCAGCAGCTAATCCTTAATTATGCGCCTTGTTACCTTAATTTTTGGTTAGCTATTTTATTCCTTGGTCATTCGACTCTAGGATTTTTGATTGGGTCTTGATTAAAGAGTGGCAACAGCTTACCATCTACTTGATCCTTGTTTCCACATGATTGTTTTTCTATTTGATTGAATTGGATCTTGGAAATTGATTAAAGAGTTTCTTTAGAATGTTCTTTGGAACCTAACCGATCTCTACCGAAAATGTCAATTTATTTTCTTTACTTTAATAAGAACCAAACCTTAAGCAAAGCAAACACCCAAAATGCAGCCGAACCCAACCCCAAAACCTTTTTATATGTCAAGAACCGGGTTCACAAACCAATCACAAAGGCAGGCAGTTGGTTAGAACCAGCGACTTTTCTTGTTCATAGTCTTACTATTGATTCTGATCTTTCTTTCCTTTTTACTTTAATGAGTCTTTCTGATTGAACATGATCTGGGTACTTGATCAAAGACTGGCAATAGCCAAAGCTTTAGTCTGTACCTTGTTGCAGAAATCTTTACTATTAAATATTTGAACTATCTCATTTAATCTACAATTCTTGATGTGCTCTTGACCCGGGCTAAACCGAAAGTCAAATCCAGCTATGTCGCAGTTCTAATACCCTAACTTTCACAATTAATAGCCCAAGTTTAGAGCACA